GGATACAATAATAAAATACCATACACTGGGCAGCTTAAACAATAGATTTATTTCTCATCATTCTGGAGGTTAGGAAGTCCAAGATCAAGGTGCTGTCACATTTGACTCTTGGAACATAGCTTCATTCTCTCTGTAGCTTTACATGTTGGAGAGAGGACACTGGTATTTCTTACCTTTAGGGAACTAATCCCATCATGGAGGCCCCTCCCTCATGACCTCATCTAAACCTAACTTCCTCAAAGATCCCACCTCCCTAACACCAGCCATCGGGGCTCACACACATGACTTTTGTGGGGACACAAATATTCAATCCATAGCACTGATGTGGCATCATGAAGACTCTAGAAACAGACTCACAATCATACATACAACTGATTTTCCACAAAGGCACCAATGCAATTCCACCAAGGGAACAACTGTTTTTGCAACAACTGATACTGGGGAAACTGGGTATACAGATAGGAAAAAGGGAATTTTGAAAGACATGTACTGTATAGAGTCCATTTATATAGAACTTTAGGAAATACAAATTAATCTATAGTGACACAAAGTAGAGCAGTGATTATAAGGATAGGGGTAGGGAGGAGCAGGAAGGAGGGGCTACTGGGGCCAAAGGCCATTACTGGGGAGGTGATGGATATGTTCACTGTCTTGATGGTGGGGATGGTTGCATGGGTATACACACATGCCCAAATCCATCTAATCGTACACTTTAAAGATGTGTAGTCTATTATATGCCTATTATACCTCCATAAGTTGTCAAAGAAGGGTTAAAAAACCAAGAACCCCCAGTAGCCCTTCATTTCCAGCCTAAAAGTTCCTAGTTGGTGGAAAAGGACCAAGTTTAACCTTCCTAGACACAAAAGAAGGCACTGTGCCATTCACAAATGCCCAAGGCCTTGAACTTGATGGTTCTTCTAACATAAAAATAACGATCTTCTGAGAAGCTGTCCAGGAATCCTGGAGGGTCTGGTATTGTGAAGTCATAGTTATACTGGGGCCAGCAAAAGACAAACCAGCTACAAATACCATGGCAAGTGGGAACTCCTGAGGAATATGGTTGTGGCCCCTGCTATGCTTCCCTTTTATGTTACCTCATCATGCACAGTGGACTTGAGCCATACAGAACCATATGTCACACCTCACAGACATAAGAACTATCATCTGGATAGTTATTGTATAGACTACACTTTATAACATTGGTGGTTGTTAAGATGTCAATTACTATAGCAGCTATAATTTACATTAATTTTCCTTCCTCCATCACAGAATAACTCATGTTTTGAAAACCTGCTCCTCACCTAGTACCAGCTAAAGCCACACTCTGGAGTGTGGCATCCTAAGCTCTCCACACTTGAGGTCTAATTGACCTTAAACCTAGAACAGTCCTGGAGAAATCCCTCAGCCTTTCATGGGTTCCCCCAACATACCAAATGCTCACTCTCCTTTCTTTCACCTGTTGCAACTCAAGCACTTCTCAGCAAACCCACAACAGAAGTCCCTCTACTTCCACTTCCTGTCTGAAGAGCTGGGCACTCTCACTTGTGGGTGTGGATTCTGCCATGTTGTGTTGCCTGAAGTCTGGCAAAGAAATTGCCAAAGCCAGAGCTGCTATTCTCAGGAGGTGATGTGGCAGCTTGTTAAGGAACATACCAGGCTGGCCAAATCTCCCTTCCTGGTCACAGTCATGGTATCCAACCAGCTTTAGTTGGCTGTCCATAACCCAGTCAGAGGAGTCTATACCCTGTTGTAGGACCCCAGACAGAGCTCCATGCACCAGGGAACCCAAAGGGTTACCAAAACACTGGCTCTGGGCTCTTCCCAGATTCCTGGTGAAGGCTTTTCCTAAAAACTTTAACCCAACTGCCTGTTTAAACATTCAAAATAGCCCCTACCTATTAGAGGGCTTCTTTCAAGGCCAACACTTGTAGAACTTCTTTATTTGCAGCCAAAGGAAGTGGAAGCAATCCCATCTCACAACAAATTCAGCCAGGACCACTTACCAGTTGCATGGAGATACTGCCACAGCATGTATACACCTCTTGGAAAAGCATTCATTCAAAGTTTCAAAGAGCAAATGGTCCAAAGGGGAAGGGGCCTAAGATTGGCATCCAGGAAAGATCCTGGGGAGGGGGAGCAGCTGGAGGAAGGAATGGAAAGCAGCAGGACTTTCCTGGATAGTTTAATTGTTTACACTCTTTTGTCTCTCAAAAAGCAAGGGCAATCATCCCCATCTCCCACACAGCAGGAGGGATGGAGCCCAATTTATAGGCACCATAGAAGGAAAAAAAGAGTCCTTTCCAGGCTCTCTCTTCCCTCTCTTATTCCACGCAAAACCCGTGTTGCATACCTGATTACCCTACCTGAAAGAAAAAACTACTCTTATTTGAGTTGTAGTGAAAATCTAATTAACAGGAACTAAATTACACCGAGAACAGGAGAAACAAAAAGACTAGCTTGCCATTATAAGCATCATTTACCTAGGCAAGCACTAGAGGTTTTGGAGCTTTCCAGGGCACTCAGATAAAGTCAGAGAGCAGTGCCCTGTATCTCTCCTGGTAGACCCACTTTCTGCTGAAAATGCTACACATGATGCTTTCTGTATGGAGTTATCCTTGGGTGTAGGACTAAGGTGAAAAAAAGGTGCTTGTGTTAAAAATAGAATTAGCTTATATATTAGAACCAATGGAATGTCACTGTCCTGGGAGAGCCAGCTCTTCTCCAGTAGAAGTTGGTGACTGTCCGGCTTGTAGGAACTGAATAGTTCCCTTCCCAGAGCACTGGAAATGGACATTAGAGTACATGGGACAGAGACCTTACACAGCCTTCTGCTATGGATACCTGCTCTATATGGGAACTGGTTCCTTGCATCTCTGCAGGCCCTAGGAGATTGTCTGAGACTCAGAAAAACCCCAAATGCCAATTACCTCACCAGGAACTTCAGAGACATGTTCCTACTGGAAAACATAAAGTTGCAAATGCTTTGGATTGCCTCCACGTGAGGCTGGAGCTGACGAGACTGAGCCCAAGTGCAATGTGCTGAGTGCGCAGAGTCCATTTCACGCGCATCTGCTAGTGCCAGACCTGGGCTGTTACAGAGGACACAAGGCTGAACATGACACACAGCTGTAGGCTTATGGGGCACTAGCTTACAGACAAGAAGGCAATCAAAGGACAAAGAAATAGAGAGCCACTGGACACAAGCCACCTTGAGACAAGTTACAGAACTCTGGAACCTTCCACAAAATAGTTCATTCA